GTTCAGGAGAATAGGGAATGGTCAAACAAAAAGGACGCAGGTCAGCTCTGAGAAAGCACTGGCTGTGGTGCTAGGGAGTACCTCCACCGTCATTATCCAGAGGACCTGGCTATTGATGATGGCTCCCTTAACCTCGAGAAAATGTGCCCTCCAGGTGTACTGTGGCTGATCTTGAACGTTTTGCCTGGCTGCACATCTGCTCTTTAAAGGAGCTCTGAGTGAAGGCTGTCACGGTTGTTTAAAAGCCTACAGAAGTCTTTCAGAATCTTTTGCCATCTCCCTATTCTGTGCTCTCCAGATAAAACTTTTAACTCCTCAGCCTGTGTCCGATTCAAGCTGACACCTCTGAAAGTTCTGGAGAATTCCCTTTCCTTTCGAGAACTTGTTTCCTCTTTTCTTGCAATGATTAAGACATTTTACCATCAACCCCCTGAAGACTCCTGCAGGTAGCCTGCCCCTAACCTGGCTCAGGTGTGCTTTCTGTCCCTGATACTCAAGTGGGTCCCAGTTGTCAGAAATCAGAGCGTGGTTAGAAACTAGTTGTGTGACATGATCCTCGGAAGAACACTTAACCTGTCACCTGAGAGTTTTCCCCTTGGTAAATGTGAAATAGGGCTCTTGTCACACGTAGCCACCATAAAGATTAAACAATGTTAACATGTATGCAGTGCCTAACTCAGTGCGAGACAGACAAGGATCTCTTGCTTGCTCACATATCGGTTCCCTTTGCTCCAAACTGCCTGAAGGACGTTTCTCTGAACTACTGCCAAATCCACACCCCCCACTTTCTTGTGGGAAAGTTCAGCATCTTCAGTCCTTACCATGGTACTATCTAGAATGATCTGTCACACCTCTGCTCGCTCAGGAGTTCCCAGCTTAATTTCGTCCCTATTTAAAAGAGATTTTCTCAGTTTAGCCTGATGTGGTGGCGTATGCCTTTAATCCCAGCACTTGGGAGACAGAGGCATCAGAATTGCTTGCTCACCTACAAGCAAGTTCCGGGTCAGCCAAGGCTAAAACAGTGAGGCCCTGTCTTTAGGAAAAAAAAAAAAGTTATTGTCTCCGTTTAACCCAGTTCTACACTTACGCTCTTCTCTGAGGTGTGTTTCTAGGTATGACCTTATTCTACATGAGGGAAAGCTTGCACTATATGTATTTCCACGAAAAAAGCAGTTGCAGGCGACATAGGGCCCCGGCTCAGCGTGTGCTGCCATGTTGTCTCAGGTCACATCGGCCGTCTCTCCAGCCTCCTGGATGGATGCGACATTTCGCATACAACACAACAGGCATTAAAAGAAGACCATTCTTAGGGACGAGCTTTGTTGTCCCTTTAGTCATTCTTCCTTGCTTACCACTCAAAATACACATGTTCCGGGCATATGCCGGCGCAGACACGCAGACATACTGACTTTAAAAGAGGCATATTTTTGCACTCCTTGACATCTGCTTGTGTTGATTAAACACATAACTCTTCTGTTTATGTCTCAACATGGTTAAAACACACACACACACACACACACACACATGCACACACTTGAATGTGTCAAAGCCTGTCTTCTGCTCCTTAATAGTGGATAGAAAATCTTGCTGTGTACACAATACGGAATCAGTTAGCCAGGTCATTCAGGGACTCTGCCTGGGGTGACTTGGGAGTGGTCTGTTGGATGGGACAATTGCTTGTTGGGAGGTTGAGAGAGATACTGACGGTCCCCGTCTGCTTATGTATGCCCCACCCTTTTCTGTTCTATTGAGGAATTAGGTCAGCTTTGGGGAGTACGAGCGGAGGAGGGACTCCTGAGGGCCCACCCTTCCCTGGGGACAGAAGCAGTTAACAATTTCCGGGGAAGGAGAGTCATTTTATTTGGTGGTGCAGCCACTGCCAAGTTTCCCATGATTCCCCCATGATCCTAACCCTTCCCCTCTCTCTGCAAAGCAACCCTTGTTCAACTCACTGGACCACTGGAACAGACTGAAAAAGGCTTGAAAAAGGACTAGTTGGGAGGAGGAAATGGATTGGCTAGGTTAAGGGGTGTGCGGTAGAGAGTAGGGTAGGTGGTTTTCCAGATTCTGAGTAGGAAGGACCTGTGTTTGCACCTGTCAGGTAGCATCACCTCTGGCCTTCTCGGGGTGTGGCAGTTCTCTCTTCTCCAGCTGCACGCTGCTGTTCTGCACACAGGTCTCAGTCATTTGCATCCCCAGACGCTTTTCAGCGCATTGGTTTCTACAAGCAGGCTGCCGTCAACTCCCTTTTATTAGGAAGAGATTACCATCATCATTAGGCCTTTTAAAATGGGAGCAAGGGTTCCTTATAAAACAGAGGGGGGAGGAAACACCTACAGAACAGGAGAACAGCTCAGCAGGTTTAGCTGACCGAAGACGTAGATGTGACGGCCGAACTCCTATCCAAACGGAACCCTTAGCAATGGGTGCACCACATTTTGTTCTGTAAAGGACACCCTCCTAGCAGACAGCTCTCCCAGCCTCTACCTGGCTGCCCACCAACCTCTGCTCATAGACAGTCTTGTTAATTCATGGGGTAAAGAATATATAAGCAACCCGCCAGAAGGTTCAAGGTAGAAAAAGAATAAAAGCCCTTAACAGCCTGCTGCATCCTGATAATTGAAGGCTGGCGGGAGGGAGGAGTGTGTGAGAGTGTGTGTGTGTGTGTGTGTGTGTGTGTGTGTGTGTGTGTGTGTGCCCACAGCACTTCAGATGTTGACTGCCAAGCGAGAATATAATCAGGTGGAAGAACAGAGATGTTGTGGGACAAGGGAGCTTAGTGAACGCACACTGGCAGAGAGCACACATTTCACAGACTAGCTTCCTGGGCTTCAGATGAAATCTGCTACCCTTGCGTCGAACACCTGTGCCATTATCACATAGTCGTGGCTATCAATGCGTCTGATCATTACAGCAAAGGGCACTGAAGCTATAGCTTTTGCCTTTCCTTCAAAATGAAGTGCGTGGTGGCTCCTGAAAACATTTTTAATGGGAACTCCAATTTCCATGTGGGTTTGGAAGCAGGGGAGGGTGTAAGGGAAACTGTTCTTGCAGCCAACAAGAGCTGGGTCTGATTCCAGGTACGCTGCTGCTTGGCTGTGTACTGTCAGAAAAGCCACCCGCCCTCCAATCAGCAGTGGGTTGAGCCATTCAATAGAGAAGATAACCCTGCACACAGGTTTCCTGGGAACTGAACGCAGAAAGTATCATCCACACTGTAAGAAACATGTCTGCTGGTGGTCAGTAGACTGTGGCTGTAATTACTGCTGTTTGTGCTTGCTGAGAGAGAACACTGTGTACACTCGAAATAGAGGTGTCCCTTCATTTTGACATCGTTTCTGACTTTAACAGGGCTGAACAATTGTTAATATCTTTCTTAGCCAAGGCAATGCACTCTGATAAACCTGCACATCTCTGTTAAAGGTGATGTCTTGTCTCTGTGAAGGGGGCAGGGATTGCCATCTGTATTCTTTAACGGTAACAATAGTTTCCAGCTTGCTCTTGTAGAAGCAGCCTTGGGTTGCTGAAGTCCCCAGTGAGAACCTGGGCATTTATTCCCTCTGCTGCTGGGAGTGTTTGCTGCTAATGGCTCACAGCTGGGTTGTTCCCTGGGCATTGCCTTCAGCTAACAGGAGCTGACTGCCTAGTGCTGTATCCTTCCCTGGTGGCAGCATTTACTCAGTGAGTCATGGATGCGGAGTGGGGAGGGTTGTCGCTCTTGCTTCAGTTTGGGGTCATGCTGAGAGGACATCCGAGGTCCAGAGTGTCTCACAAGACCAGATGCCCCTCCATTGCCAACGCTCCACCTCTCCCTCCCGACTTTAATGTTTGTTCCCGAAAAGCGAAGCCCCTAGGAGGATTCCTGGGTCAGTTACAGGGCCTCAAGCAAATTCAGTGTATGAGAGACGTGAATCGCAGGGGGAGGAGGCAAGAGGTCCTTCAGACTGGGATGTGGGTCTGACATCTGTGGAAGAACAAGGGAAGGAAAAGACGGGTTAGCAAATGTCTCACCCAAGTCGTTGCTGGAGAAAGCCTCACCTCTGCAGGCAAGGGCGAAGTAAGCCGATGGCCCTGGAACGTAACTGTGAGGGCCACAGGTCTCTAGGGATACACTTTCCACCCTTGTTCTCCTAAGGTCACAACCCTTCTTGGGAAAGTCGATCCTGTTATATTTACATTAAAGCAAGCAATAATATTCAAAATCTCAGATGGCCATGAAACCTTGTGCTCAGGTAAAGTGGCTGTTTCCCCTATTTTGAAGACAAATACTTCCTTCTCTCTTGTAGCCAACAAAGACATGTCTTCCTTGTAGACCAATGTAAACCTTGTTATGAGGGTAATCTAACCGTCTCCTAGTGGCTGGGCAAGAAATTAGTATTAATTTATTATTAATTGATTAAGTAATATGCTGGCAAGTTCTGTGTTTGGTAAGGAAAGAAGAAACTATATCCCAAAGGCCATGCATGAGACTTAGCCAATGTGTGTTACCAAGAGCTAGCTGAGTTTCATGGAACTGTAATCCATGGGTGCTAGACCACAAGACTAGAATACAACATTGAAGAAGGAGAGGTCACCAACCCAAAAACACTTTATTCTGACGCAGGCCTTAACACCCTGGGAAACTTGGAGTAAATGGTCCTAACTTGTCACTGGGATGGCTGGTTGAGCTTGGAAATAGCAGGGTCCTCACATCTGAGGAAATGAAATTCCAGAGAGACAGCGGCAGATGGTAAAATAAGAAATTCAAAGATTCCAAACAGCAGGCAAGCAAAAGCAAGTGGTTACCCCCAGCCAGCAAATCCATTAGCCAACTGTGCTCTGCAGAAGGGCTCACAGGGGACACTGTTCACCAACGTGATAGGGACTGTGCTCCGGAAGGGACACCGAATCCCTAACTGTTATCAGGGTGATGAGAAGGAACATGGCTTCAGAGCAGGACTCCCTGGGAGCGATGGGGCAGAGGTAATGCCCAAATAATAAAGACAAATTGGAGCACTTACCCATTTCCAGAAAATGTGGTTTTAGTCATATTAAGGAACTGCAAATTTGGGTGGCAGCCAAGAGCCTAAACCGTAGAATGCTGTGAAGATTAGTAACAGAGCGTGACATTCTGGGGACAAGGTAAGTGTCAGTCCACAAGTATCCTGTGTAATCTGTAGAAAGAAATGAATGACAGGCTATCAGGAGCTGGGGAAGCCCCCCCCCTTAATAAGTCACTTGACTGCTCTCCAGAATCTGCTACGTTTTAGACTTGAAAGTCATTGACAGGATGAGTCTAGGTTCCTAGAAGGATCATTGCAACTCTCTGACAACTGGGTGCAGAATGGTCCCAACAGGCTCCCCCTTAAAGAGACCTAGAGTCACATAGCTAAGCATATACCAAGGAAAGATGAAAATGCATCCATTCAGAGCCAAGTTAATGCTGATTCTCAGGGACATGAAGTGTCCTAGTGTGTCCTTGGAGTCACCCATCTCCTCTGGCTCTTACAAACTTTCTGCTTCTTCTTCCACATAGATCCCTAAACCTTAAGGTTAGAGGCTTGATAAAAAAAAATGTGTGCATTCTTAATCTTTGACTTTCTCTAAAGTGAAGCACAGTAACTAAAAACTCAGAGAGAGAAATTGGGGTTCAACCTGAAGACCCAAAAAGCAAAACAGTCACTTTCTTGTACCTTGACCCCAGTCTGAAATGATCTCCTGCCTTCAGGAATCTCAGAATGAGACTGTATCGGAGAACAGTCTCCTTCTGGCTTATAATCCTTTTTAGTTCTGGGATTAAAGGTATGCACCACTGAGATTAAAGGCATGCACTGCCCAGTTCCCGTGGCAAACTAGTGTGGCTACTGGGATTAAAGGTAAGTGCTATTGCAGCCTGGTCTGGAAAGCTGGCCAGCGTTGCTGTTTCACTCCCTGAACTTCAGGTAAGTTTTATTTAGTAAAATAAAAATGAAATGCCTGCCACTACACTAAAGGCTAACACAGTAGCTCTTACATGAAAAAAAAAAGTTCAGTAAATATTTTTTGAAGTTTCTAAACACCTGCCACCTAAAGGGTGCTTTTGTTAGCTATTGATGTTTTGAGGATTCCAATAGATGGCTGTGATCACACAACCTGTCCTTTCTAACAAGGGATTCTTTTCCAGAAGTAATGGTCTGATATAATGCCTGCAGGGTTCTTTTGGCGGCGGCTGGGGGTGGGTGGGTGGTGGCGGCGGCAGCGGCGGTGGTGGTGGTTCTTCTTAATGGCTTCTTCTAAATCAAAGGGTGCAACCTCCATTTTCAGAAATAATTTTTGCCCTATAACCTGAGTAGCATCGAATGCAAAATTATCTTTCACTCTAAGTCTACCAGGAAAAACATCTACCCCTGCATTTGGGAGGTGATAGAGACACTTAAACCAGATGGTTAGATGGACTTCCCATTGATTTTCTATGTACTGAGAATATTTAAGGAAAGCTATTTGTTTTTAAAGCAATTACCCATTCACAGGAAGTTGCAAAGAAATACACAAAGAGATTCTTTGTACCCTACACTGGAAAGTAGGATTAAAAAAAAAGAACCTCCAAATTAATTCCCTGCCACTAGGGATTTGGGGATACATATGATGACTTGATGAAGCAGGGATATTAAGTCAGAAAATAACAATATCAACACTGTAATGACTCATTTGTTTTTCCCAAGAGCAGCTAAGTGTTGCCAATGTTCTAACGGTGACCTGTTTGGACCAAAGTCAATGACAAAATCCTCCAAAATAGGCAGAACTTGAGACAGTAAAAGATTTCTCTGCTACTTAATTAGTTCCAAAGAACATAAGAAAAATCACATTCATGTCTGAAGGAAAAAAGCAGCTAAATCATCACTATTAAAAAGCTTTGTTTAAGCTCACATGTGCATTATTTCTGTTTCTCTCTCTCATGTGTACACATGTGCACACACACACATACACACACACACAAATAAAACCATTATCTGACTTAATGTTAAATCTTAAATGTACTCAGCTTCCCCTCTTGTACACAGAACTCTAAGTATCTCTACCTTTTCATTAATAATAAAAGAGCCTCAAAAACTATAGGAGAGATTGATGAAATATCACATTTTGAAGAAAAATTCTTTTGAAACTCATGACAAATGTATGACTAGTGTATAATTTTTTTTAAAATCAAAATCTTTCCTTAATAGCTCTTTCTGTGCTCCTGGTAGTTTTCAGACCTCACTGAACTGCCTCACCAGCAACCACAAGTGTTTTCTGAGCACATGTGGAGCAGTGACATTCAGTACCTCTTCCAGGCTAGCAGAGCCGATTCACCTTTCATTTTACAACCTTCACCTTGTTCCACTGTTGAGCATCCCTATGTATGATGTCCTTGTCTAATTTAATAGCAAGATGAGGTCCATGGTGATGGGAAGACGGGTTCCAAATCAATTAACGAAGTAGTGGCAAGGTTAGGATTAAGGCCTGGCCTTAGTTCTAAGCCAAACCCTGTCCCCTGTCTACCATGGTTAGTTATCTATGTCAGGGGTCACTTGAGAGGCTCCAGCTTTCTAGGGTCATTTTAATGACTATTTTAATAATACAGCTAGACACGTCAAATCCCATTTCAAGGTAAGTGCAGATAGCCCGCTTAAATGAATTCAAGCTTTGTCTTAAGGCTCCAATTCCTTTTGTTACTGCCTTCTGGATCTTGGTTCTGTGCTATGTGTCTCCAACTCAAGCCTACCTTCTTGGGATAGATGGTCAGTAAGTTTTAAACAGCAGAACATGACATGAGTGTGACTGATGGTGCCTCTTCCATGCTTGGCCTATAGATGCTCATCGGTTTAGTGAGCCCCTTCCTCCTTCTCCAGGGACAGGGTGACTGCATAGTTTTGGAAACTTGGTCTTAAAGATAGCAGATGTACTCTGACTCACTGAAGAGCCATGCTATGGACTAGGCCATTTTCAATCTGCAGCCTCCACACAGATATGAATATACACGACACAAACTCATAAATTGCTTAAAACGTGTGCTTGTGTGTGTGAGTTTGTGCATGTGTGTGTGTCTGTGTGTGATTTTCTGTGGTAAATCCATTGTGCAGTTCTCAAGTATAAACTCTGTAGAGAACAATGTCAAGTGGACATATCAGAGCTTGCCAGTACCTTTCCATGTAAGACAGAAATAAACCCCTGGCTTGCAATAATTTTTATCACAATTCATCCTTCCATTAAAGCATACAAATAGAAGTGTCTTTCCAACCAAAGTAAGGATTTGTTTCTAAAACTAATACTAGTTTTACAACAGCTCAACCAGATTTAGAAATATCATTTTGTTTTCCTAATAGTCTGTATTGTAGTAGAGAATGTTGGAGCTTAGATTTGGAGGTTGACCTGTGTGTTAGGCATGTGTCACTGAAAGATGGGCTTACCCTCTCACTCACAAGTTAATTATCATATAAAACATGCTATTTTCCAAGAATTAGGAATACTAACAGGTGTAACATATGGGTCTCCTAAACAAATGTGATATAGTGATATTTTATTTGTTTTTAATAAATGAACCCTGCCTGAAGATCGACGAGGTCAGAGAGTGGTGGCACCCACCTTTAAACCCAGGACTCAAGGCCACCCTGGGCTACACAAGATTGAATATCTATCTAAAAGAGAAATAGAACTCACACAAAGGTGCTTCCAGTACTGAGGAGTCACAGATCTTTAAACGCAATCACCCCACTGTAAGGAAGTGGGGACAGGAGTGATATGGCTGGGCAGAGAGAGGAATAAAAGGCAGGAGGAGACAAGAGATCATTGCTGTCTGAGGTTTGGGGGAGAGCATTACAGTCTGCAGTCACACTGAGGACAGGATCACCCCTTTGTCTTGAGTCTTGGTAGAGGTAAGAGCTCTCTAGTGGTTTGACTGCTTTGCTTTTCTGATCTTCAGCTTGAACCCCAATATCTGTTTCTGGGTTTTTATTATTCATACTACATCTGTTGCCCAACTTTTGGGGTATGAATTCACACACACAAAGAAGCCGTTTGGCTGTGGTTTTGCAGCCTCTAGCATAGTTTGGGGCTACAAGCGGCTAGAGTTACCATCCTACCAGCTAAGATTTCCTTTCTTCTCTCCTCATGGTTTTCCCTGAACTCCCCTCTCAGGCTGCTGCCAAACAAGGCTCTGCCTTGAAATCTGGTCAGGCTTTTACTGTTCCACACAGCAGCACTAAGCCTCACGTCTTCAACATCATCGGTGGCAGACTTTGTGAGAAAATTCAGAATTCTTTAAAGAAAGAATTAGTTAAAAGGGATTTTTTTCCCACATTAAAAATGGGAAACACAATTACAAAAGAGAAAGTTAGGTCTCTGTATGATTATGTAATGCATGATTTTAAAATGGAACAACTAAATGAAGGGAAAATCAACTTAACCAGGACTGACGCAGTGTTAATTATCACTTTGATAATCCTTGTTGTCATTTTGATAATTCTTGGTTTATCTCTTAAAAAGTTGTTTGGTTTGACTGCCAAGATACAGGCCTTAGAAAAACTTAATAAAACAGATCATAGAGATATTCAGATCCAGACAGAGGAATTTAATGGAGAACCAATTTCAGCATTGCTTTATAAGATTAGAGAGGAACAGACTATGGTTTTCAAGCAAACAACCTTAATATATCCAGTAAACTTATGGAAATTGCTGAATGGTAGAGGCTCTGAAAGAGTTAATTTGACTCCTGTGCCAAAGTTAAATTTAAGAAGATTCAAGGAATCAACAGTCTCATGTGGCATGCATTCACCTTTTATGAAGCAAATATTAATCTCAGGGCGAGGTTATAGTAGAATTATCCCTAAAGACTGGATAAACTTGGTTAAAGCTGTTTTAGAACCTGGCCACAATTACAGTGGAGTATGTGGTTCAGGAAAGAGGCTAAGACTATTGAACAATGGAGTAAAGCTAGAGGAACAGAAATCTCCAAGATCAACTTCTCAGAGAAGGAGATTATGCTACTATAGAAGGGAAATCTTATTTTGGTTGGAAGACTTTTGATGACTGTTTATTTCTTTATTAGTTATAGGTCTATTTAATTTGTTTATCTGGTCTTGATTTTAATTTTGGTAAGTGATATTTATCCAGAAAATTGTCCATTTCTTTTACATCTCCCAACCAAAAAAAAAAAAAA